GATTGGTTGTATATAATGGGCCTTCAGGTTGCCACCCCTGTGAATAGGGGGGTATATCCTACTGGTTGTAGTAATGCCAATCTGGAGACCAAGAAGTTCACACTCTCCCAATGGTTGGATGTAGAAAGCAGTTAATTTATTGGCATATAATAAAATAAATACATTAACAAATGGTCCTACGCGTTTTGTTCCCTTTAGGAAACTTCCTCAGGGACCAAAATTAAAATACATACAATTAATACATTACAAATACTAACAAGTGTATCCATAAGCCTATTGCTTCCCTCCCTTCCCTTCCCTTAAATACAATAAGTGCTGGAAGTCCATTGGTGGTGTAGTGGGCGTGCTCTCATGTTCCTCTTCTATTGGACTCCTCGTCCGTCGGTGAATTACCTCCATAAGTCATCTCAGCTGTTCCAATTACCGTTCTGTTTTTTCGCGGCAATTTTCATGCGTCCATCCTTGAGGACACGCTTCCTGTATGGATGGACGTCTTCTTTCTATGACGCACTTGTTCTTTGAATTAAATATGGCCGTGCATTCCATTTTATTCCGTTACTAAAAGTTCTTTTATTGCCATCTGATGGTCGCCAGAGGTAATGTACTTCATGCATATTTATCAATGATTCCATTACATGCAAAGAATAAACGCCAGAGTTGGTTTAACAGTTCTATCATGAAACTATACTTTTCAAATTTATTCCCATTATATTCACCAATAGTGATGTCCCGAACGGTTCGCCAAACGGTTCGCGAACGGTTCGCCACGAACGGTTCGCCACGGACTCATCATTGAGTAAACTTTGACCCTGTACCTCACAGTCAGCAGACACATTCCAGCCAATCAGCAGCAGACCCTCCCTCCCAGACCCTCTCACCTCCTGGACAGCTCACTAAGAATGCAGCTTCACAATGGATGCCGTCCAGGAGGTGGGAGGGTCTGGGAGGGAGGGTCTGCTGCTGATTGGCTGGAATGTGTCTGCTGACTGTGAGGTACAGGGTCAAAGTTTACTCAATTATGAGTCCGTGGTGAAACGTTCGTGGCGAACCGTTCGCGAACCGTTCGGGACATCACTATTCACCAACAAGCAATTGTCAATTTGGCTGTTATATGACCATTTTAATATAATGAAATAAATAGTGTTCAATCTATACTTCCCATTTTTATATTTCTTTTCATATTTTTTATATACATATCATTTTATGGACCCTGTATGTTGGTGTATATTTTGGGCATCACATCACACATATATCACCCTGGTTTCCGAAATAAGTTAATTTTATTCTAGTTGTATAGAAAAGGAAATAAGGGGAAAATTCCTCTTTTATAAATGTTTCTATTTATTCAAAATAATTTTTTGATGATGACTCTTTAGAAAAGGCTACATATTTATTTTAGTGTATATTTTATTTATAGAAAGAAGG